TTTCAACAGGGTTGAAGGCACAGCAGACTTAGGCACTCAACTTACGCCGACTTGCCCTCAGCATCCAGCTTGGTAGGACAGAGACCTTTTTTGACAATGAGAGCTGAGACTTTATCGGGTTCATTCTGCTCCACAGCCTGCAAGAGCCTTTCATCACTCTTACTCCAGTCCTGACTCTGAGGGGGCCAAAACAGAGAACAGGTCACCACGAAAACTGATACCGTACCACTTCTCTTACCGTTCAACACAACAGTTGACTGAGAAATATGGAGCAGTTAGAATGGGCAACAACTAGTGATAATGATCCAGTAAAGAAAAGAAAAACACAGTAAAGACAACAGAGCACAACAATTTTATAGTTTATGCAAAATAACTTAAATACAGAAATATTATAAACTACGGAGGCAAAAAAATCACTTATATTTCTATGTGATACCTACTGGCAGCGGTAGCAGGCTGAAACAAGGACAGAACCTCTTCATCAGGCTATAAACAGGCTGTTGAGGATCCATGCTGCTAACAGGGTGTCACACACAACTAAATACAGCTACAGTATACGAAGCCACCGCAGTGTTTCCTATCAGACAATACACACTGCCACCTGGCTTCATAACAATACAAACACACTCCAAATGATCGAGAGAAAAAATCAGCTACCCCTAAATTTCTTTAAGCTACCCTTTAGAGGTCAGAGCAAAAACACAGCAAAGCTCTACCTACCAGAGAATTTATGCTCTTGTGAAATCATACCTCCAGTGAAAACGAAGGACTGTCACACATAAACTGTGACGCACTTACACATAACACAGCTATTTTCTGTCCTCCCTCTCCGCATTTAAAACAGCATCCTTTCGTCCTGCTCCAGCTGCTAGCAGAGTCGTAACAGTCTATCCACTGCACCACACACACTCTCCCTCCTTTCCTCACTGCCCTCCTTTCTCTAACCTAACATTTTCTCTTGTGCCTTCCTCTCTATAGCCACCTCATTTCTTTTCTTCATTAGTTTTTTTTTTTTTGCCAGGTCTTCCAACAGTACCCCTTGGCGTCAGCGTCACAGATCTGTGCCTCTGCAGCTTCAGAGTAGGGCCTGTGCGATGTGAGGACTCAGCAAAAACAGGAAAAGGGAGCTGGACAAGCTGCACGCTGCTCTGCAGGTTTGGGACGTCATTTATAGGGAACGGGAGAAAAGCAAGACACAAACACAAATAGGTACAAACCACAAAAACAGGACAGCCCGAACTAGCAATTTTACTTATCTGGCCTCTTGGAGTGTTAAGTTATAGTCCACACAGTCTCACCTAAAGAGGTAACCTTCATTGCCACTAAGTCAGGGTGATACAGCACAAAGAAAAGCCTTTAATTGTTCTAAAAGCATCACCACCATGAAAATGCTAACACAAGTAGGTCTAGTTAGATAAACCAGCAACTTTCAGTGCAGCCTATCAGTTTGAATACACCACACTGCATCGTGTAGAGGATTGCTATAATTCTCTGTTGGTTCTTATTTAAAAAGTAAAGTTAACATTTTAAACAGCTTTCATGTGAAAAGGGATGACAGCAGGATAATAGGAGCTATTTGTGTGTGCATGTGTGTGTGTGCAGGTACATGTGAATAATTGAGGGCTACCTGAGATCTCTGGTTACAGCTGCAGTCTGGAGACAGTCCTGCCTTCCTGCTGCTCAGTGACACCAAATCCCACTGCCCCCCATTACACATACACACAGAAAGCAACCTGGGACTGTATAAATGACTACATAACACAGTCCAGTTCAACACCTTAACATTCATTTAAAAACCAAATAACTTGAAGCAGCATATCAGACAGGTGTGCTCCTTTAAAACATACCCACCTGTAAAACTCAAGATGCCACACAACAGATGGCTCTTACCTCAATCTTTTTAAATTTTGCTTTCAGGCTTTTCATAACGGTTGGACAGCCTTTGTCTAAACAGGTGCACTGCAAAGTAAGAATAAAAAAAAAGAGCTAAAGTTAAAATGCTAGTGTAATTCTCAGTGGGTCTTAAGGAGGGTTTGATTCATTTACCCATTACTCAGCTCTCAACAGTGGACCAGCCACAGGGTTAGTACTAAAATTTGGGGAGTACATAGGGAATGCACCACCAGGCTAGCATCAACACTAACGCAGTTCATGCAGACACACAATTACACAGCTGGAGAAACGTGCAGCCTACCCGTGGACGACCGTCTAGCTCCAGGTGAGGGTTTCATCTGTCCCACGAGCTCCTCGCGGCAAAATACTGAAGTCACTGCTGCCTGGCGGACAGCAAGAATGCGCCCGCCCTAATCGTAAATTAACCAATCAGCACTGCAGGAAACGCCGGATCAGCGTTTGATTGGAGATGATGGATGGCAACTTTGTTCTGTCGCGTGCAGCACAGCCAGCCAAAGGCAGACTTGTTCTAAAAGTTGTGGTTTCAAGACGCGTAGAGAAGCAGTGACGAGCACAGGCGTTTCATAGGGTGATGGTGACATTATCGAGGTATTACGTCATATATGATTTGTTGTTTTGTCGCTGTTTTCTGCGGGTAGTGGTAGCGGTGGGAAAGTTCCACAGTTTAGAAAATTTTAGCCAATCACAGAAAGTAAACCTCACCAATGGCAACACTGGAGGGCCCGACCCCGGAAGCAAACACCTTTATGTAATAAGAAAGAGTGAGGTGAGGGAAAATAGAATTTACCTTAATGTTACTGTATTACAGGTGCCACGTAAAGACTAGTGTGTGTTTTACTAGGCTGATTCGCTTTACTGCCTCTGCGGTTTATTTTTGTTTTTTTGTTTGCAGTTGCTCTGTTCTTTGTCATAACTGCAAGTAACTGACAAGTAAGTTAACTGTGGTTAAAGTGGGACACTGGTGTGCTCATGCTTATTAAAGAGCACATGGAATGCAATGCACACCAACCACCAAATGAGGGCAGTCGATGCAAGGCAGATGAAGCTATGGAAATCCGCTGCTTCTACAGGTCTACTTTGCACCCCCCTCACTATCTCCTTTTGTCAAGGCAAACGCTTATGCTGACATTAAGATTAAACTCAAGGCTTTGATATATGTGTGCATCACTGTGTATGTGTGAAACCTGTAGTATGTTTGTGTTTGTCAAATTTCATAAATGATAGCACATTGAAGCCAAAATCTGAGTGAAGCTTGGAGTTCAGAGGAAATGTCACCTCTATATTTAGCCCGTTATAATGAGGCAGCCTTATTAATTCTATGAAAAGAAAAATACAGAGCTTCTTTTTCTGTTATGTAACTGCGGTTATTTTGCATGGAAAAAACTGCAGTCACTATTTACCTGTCTGATTGTGTGCCTGTCAGTCTGACTGTCTCTGATTTCATGTCGGTGAGAGATCCAAATTTTCCATTTCAGTTTTTCTCCCCTCTGTGCTCTCCATGTGTCCTCCTCTTGCTCACTCTGACAGCTTGCATGTCTGTTCATCTCTGATTGTTCCATCTACTGCTTAGTCTCTGTCTTTGAGTTCTGGCTTTCACCCTGGTCGGGATGGAAATAAAAAATTAGATGTGTCCTCAATATGGTACTCGCTAGGGGGTTAGAGGAGGTGTTGGATTGAAGGGATTGTGCAGATGAAAAAAGGGGAAGGTGTGACTAAGGGGAGGGGGAAGAGAAGAGATATTACAGCTACAGTGAAAGATATGAGAGGAGATAAAAATTCAAAGGTGGAAAAGAAAGGGCAGGGGAAGAGATATCGGGAGCTAGTAAAGCTCCAGGAAATAATGACAACCAAAAGATGGCTTTTTTCCGTTGTCATCTGGGAGAAAAGATTGTAGGTAATTTGATAACATGATTTTGTGGGGACGGCATATTTTTGTTAATAAATATATGGATCTAATTCCTATAAGATAAAATCTTTAGCACAATGCCCATATGATAACGACTGATTCTCAGACTACTTAAACCTCACAATGAGACTTTGTTTTCAACTCTGGAAACTTTCTTTTCCCCAATAAGAATAATGGCAGGCATTTAGTGGCTAGTGAAATTGAATCCCTTCTTCACATTTACTGCTTCACTGCTATAATTGATTTAAATTGAGCTGCAGGGCCCACAAAGATTTGCATTCACACTAATAAAGTGCAGTCAGATTTTTTTCAGAAACACCTGGAGCCATGTTTTTGATCTCTTGACCCTCTTTAGGTATGGAGCCAGTACTTGGTAAACACTGGTGGAGACAGACTCAGTAGGCACAATGGCGGAGATGTAAAAAGCTAGATGGGATAATGTTGATGGCTGTGCTGATAGTGTGGTGGGGGTGGATTCTAGCTTGCTGACCTCATCCTTTCTCTCTCACCCCTGGGAGAAAGTGAGCTCATAAAGAAAGAGGCATTTACGGTCTTTTAACAGACTTAGATGGTCCTTAACCGCTGTTGCACACAATCCAATTTTCCTGCCTGTGCAGTGGATGATGTGACGTTTGTGAGAGGATGAAACACATTCAGAGAGGTCAGTAAGGATTGAAAAGAGAAGATGAAACACAAACATCCTTAAGTTTTTCCTCAGAGTGGATGGGACTTGATGCCTTTTGGCATCTTGTTTGTGTGGTAGGGCTTTCTTTTGTTTGGTCCCTACAACCCTGATCATGTTGTCAACTGCGTGGGAAGCAGATGACATTTTCAGTACTATTAGTGCGTTTGAAGTTCCCAGTTGTTAAAGGCAAAATCATTTAACTTACCTAGACTGACGCTGAAACATTAAAATTGTCCGATGATGTCATGCGAATAAATAATGCACAAGTTTGGATGACATTCGTGCGAGGTGTTTTTTTGTTTTTTCTTTATTTCAGCTCCTAGATTCAGTTTTTGATTTGTGCCCCTCGTGCACCGCTTTAAGAGGATGCAGCTATTGTTGAAGCATGTGCGATGTGCAGATATTTCAATGAATGAACGGTCGGCTGACTGCGAAAGGGAGTAGGATGATATTCCACAGGGAATGAAGCACCTCCCCTTTAATCGCTCGGTTGAGTTTCTCTCGGAGCTGTAGTCGGTCTCGTCACTCGCGCATTTTCCGCCAGTCGTTGGAGGAACTCTGCTGGATTTCAGGGCTCTTGTGTTAGAAAGGATACTGTTTGTTTTGGTTTTTTTCTTGTGCTTTTGTGGAATAAAAAGTGGAAGTAGAAGGTTTTGACACTTGTCGGTGTCGTTTTGTTGTCATCGAGATGGAAAAACGCGGAATTAAGCATCCAAAGTGGCTGAAGGACTGAATTGGCTGGGTGAGTGAATGTGCTTTCGGAGCGCAGCGCTCGCTCTGGCGTTTAAATTCAGTGTTTTGGTCATTGCTTTTGAGGGGAAGTTTAGGGAAATCCGCGTATCTTCGGCTTTCTGAAATAAGACTGGGTCAAAACTGAACTTATTAATTTGTTTTCCTCAAATTCCAAAAAGTGAAATCGTTAGAATTTAAAACAACTTATATTTATTTAACTCCTCGTCTATTTCTAATATTCTCTTCCACACTTTGCTTTTACTTTTGTATCACCGCGTTAGAGTCGCCTTTTATTGCTGGGGTGTGAAATGTAATTGCAGCCTTGGGCAAAGTCCAGATGCCAGACGTTATTGCTCCCTGCGTAAAACAAAAGGAGTGCGTAAAGCCCAGCTGTCGGTGTAGTTTAATGTCACACGAATGCATGTAAAAGCACCGAAATCGTGGCTCTGTGATCAGGGGGAGATAATCCTACACAAATATTGTTAGTGAAGCAGGACCTGTGGATTATTATCGTCGCGGGGGGTTTTTTTTATAATTGAAAGATTTAATTTTTAATCATTGACCTGTCACATTTAGAAAAGCACAAAATCTCACAAAGCAAATCCATTACATAGCTCACAAAGCCTTACAAGAAAAAAAGGTAAAGCAATAACCCTTTATCTGTCCATGTCTATCTCCTCCAGCCTCCTGCTCTCCCTTCACCACACACTGGCATATTTGGAGTGGAAATGGCCAAGTGGTTAAAAGACTATCTGAGCTTTGGCAAGAAGGTGCCTCCACAGCCTCCAACACCAGACTACACAGAGAGCGAGATCCTCAAAGCCTATCGGCTCCAGAGAGACCTCGATTTTGAAGATCCCTATGAGGACTCAGAAAATAGATCCAGGGGAGAGTCTGGAACTTCTGAACCTGCAACACCTGTCTATGGGTCTCCCATGAAGTCATCCAGTGTGGACGTGAAGTCTCCTAAACACAGACTGATCAAAGTGGACTCACAGGAACTGGGACGCACCAAGATCCTACTTAGCACCATCTCTTTAGAGGATCAGCAAGAGCCCGTGAGTTTCTCTTTGTACCTATATAAGGAAAAATGTAGGCGATGACAAGCTTTTTATGTGGCCTATCTCTTGAGAACTAGAGGGATGACCGGAAGGCTAGCGAAGGAAAGAAACTCTCCCACTTCTCTCATCCCATTTTCATCATTGTGACAGTTTTATTGATCAGACTCCATAAGCAAGTGACTTTAATTTGTGTCTGAAATATGTGTTGTTTACATAAATCATGATATGTCCTATGCAACACATAATCTTACTACCTTAGATTGAAGAAAGAATTATTGATGGCTTGAGCGGACCATTGAATCAGAGAGGGTCACAGTCCCCTGAGTTTATGTCCTATAAATAATAGATGTGGTTTGGTTTTGCAAGCTGAGAGAGACCTCCACATGAGCAGATGTTAGGAACCATATACTGTATGGTGTATGGTGATATGTCAAGGGCCAAAGGGAGCTGAAATTTATTCTTTGGCGCTGTTTGGGTCATCAGGACTGTATTGCTCTCTTGGCTGCGTGCGCTGCATATTGTGCTGTAGAAAAGCTACTGAGAATTACAAAAAAAAGGCAGATGTTAACAGAACGACTGAAGAAAAAAATAAAAATCTTACAGCAGTATGGTGTACACATCAACTCGGCAACATATGTTGAATAAGTTATGGAATATTTCCGGCTTTTCATCACTGCAGTTAAATCTATGACTCCACTCATGGAAAATGCTACAAGTGCAAATGTCCTGAAGTGGCTTGAAGTAGCAGTCTTAACTGAAGTCAATAGCTCCCCTCTCTGCCCCACTCTTCTTCTGTTCTCATTAATTTCCCATGGTCTGTGGGAACATCCGCACTCTAATTAACATTGCAGATTCCTGTGCATTGATAGATAACCTGTTACAGAATCAACATGGGATTAGGATGTAATTTTACCAGGGCGTGGATGTGTTTATCTTGAAATTGGCCAGCAAGTCTCGCTACAGTGATTTCCTTTGTCAGAGAGTGACAGACAAAGAACATTGTGCGTGCGCATGGGTTTGTAGATGCATGTGCGACCATATGCTTTCCTATGTAGCTGTCACTGTGCCAGATTACAACTGTTTTCCTCCTGTGCTTGTAAGAAAGAACAAATGCCACCAACTGGACATTTCCCTCTTTAATCTCCTCTTCTCTACCTTCAGCCAAAAACTGGGTCGTGCTAAGATAGGATGATTTCTCACTGTGTTGTTTATTCATTTAATGTGACAAGAAAGATGCAGTATGTTTCCTTCAAGGGATTCAAGAGTTAACTGCCTTGATTAGCTGCTAAATATAGTATACACGGTAATGCCGTACATGTGTATTTGTTTGTGAGCAAACACCTATTTAGCATGCCATTGAGTGGGGATCTTTCTGTGCAGCACTCCTTACTTTTTTGGCATTAACATGGAGACTGTGATTCCCAATTATCCAAAAAACTCTTGTTTTCTAGGATTGGCTCGTTTGATGTGCAACTCCAGAAATGATGGCTAAAAGTCCAACTAATTATAGCCTGTCGCTGGACTTCTAGCTCCTTTTGAAAATGTGACTCATTATACTGAGTCAGCATTTTCTTTCCAGAGGGTCAAGTTAAAGTTGTGTAAATCTTCTCTTTCATGAGGAAGTTTGTTTTGTCCTTTAGGTGGTGCCGTCCGCTCCGTTGGCTGGAGACACAGATTATTCGGACCCATTTGATGCTCGACTGAACCACCGACCAGACCCAGATCTTCGACCTGTTCCCTGTGAAAACAACGGCTATATGGAGCCCTATGAGGCCCAAAGGGTCATAACAGGTCAGGGGGCCCTTAACACCCTAATCTAACCAGTCCCAGTTTTGCCACAGGTTTTAATTTTTTTTCTCATCCTTGGCCTTTTTCATCTAAATGTCACCCTCTTTCCTGCAGCTTCAGAATACAACAGCTGGATGTGTTACTGATTTTAGCAGATGGCATTACGTCACCTTAATGGTATCTTCTCTTCATTAGCTCCTTGTACATTTTAGGTTCAGGTTACTTTATTTGTACCCAGAGGTAGATTTGGTCTGCAGTAGTACGTCATCCATCTTCACATGCACATTTTGAGTACAAGTACAGACATAATACAAAATACTAAGAAATAAATAATAATACCAAATTTGCACAACGTCATGTAGGACAGCCTGTAGGATGACTCGTTCATGTGAGTGATGGCTGCTTGAATAAAGCTTTGTTGTTTTGCACTTTGGTGCCAGAAACCTCGTCCAGAACGCAGAAACCTGCTATGAAAAATACAAATATAACTGAACCAGTGAACCACTGTAACTGTCTGTTGTACAGGGATGCTGGGTTCATCCTGATTAGAAAGATTTTATGATAATTTTTAAAGTATTTCTTGGTCTGTTTCCAAGCTACACAGCCAAACCATTACCTCCATCGAGCTGCTTCTCAGCCCTCGGGTCATTCATAGTCAAGACTGTGCCCTCCAGCTTGGAGGCGCCCAAAGTATAAAGCTTGTGGAATAAGTGCCGTTTTACTTCCTGAAGCACATTTTTATAGACTTGTGAAGTTTTTATTCTTGCATGATTGTTTCTATAACATAATGTTGCTTTAACTTTCCCTTTTTTAAATTTTCTCTCATTTTTGTTACTCTTTCTCGTTCACATTGCTGCACTTTGCAAACACTGGTTTTAAAGTTGCTATAAAAGTAAAATTGTCATTCTTAATATACGCAGCTCTTACATGTAAATGCAAGTAACAAAATCACCGATATGTAATTTGTCAGCTCTCCCTTTACTGAACAAAACCAGAAGACCAATATAACAATCCTTTTCTCTGTAGTTCAGTATAAATATCGTATAATATGTTATTTAATTGCTACATTTATTCACCACCTTGAGCCTTGTAACAGACCATCCCAGAGTATTTTAGCAGCCAGCTGTGTCAGTTCTCAGCCTCACGAAAAGTCCCTTTAAAGAGTCTAGCCACGATACAGTCTTGAACCCCTCCCCACCTCTGTGATTATTTTCTCCCACATCGTCTAGCTCACATCTATCGTTTTCCATTTGTCTCTCCTTCTATAACATCTCTGTCTGCCCCTTTAGCCCCTCTCTCTCCCTCATCTGTCCTAGTCATTTAGTGTGAAAGCCTGCCCCCTCCTCTCTCTCCATTTCTCTATCTCACTTCATCTCAAGGGCTCTCCCCGGCCCTGAGGGGAGTCATTGGCTGTCACTCTAATCTGTCCGTTACCGAATTTTGTGCCCTGTCCTTTCTCCGCCGTCACTTGTGCTGCCCTTTTAGTCGTCACGTGAAATTCATAATATCATGGATAAGTGCATGGTGCATCCCTTCCTTCGCCTAAACCAAGAAATGCTGGAGAAATTGTTTTGTGGTTCAGCTGGATGGAGCTATTGGAGAGATAAGATGTGCAGTGGTGATGGCGCAGCATTTGGGAGGCCATTGTAAAATTTCTTTCACTGACATTGCATTGAGTCTGTCACTCCTGGGCTGTCTGTCTGCCTGCTTTTGTCTGTCCCTCTGTCTGTCTAAATCTGCTGTTTCCCGCTAAAGAACAGCAAAGCAGCAAAATCAGGTGCGCAATCAGAATTTTAATGATCTCACACAAAGACTGTCCTGAAAACGGTACTTTTTAGTAGTAAAGATCTTTAATGCTTACTCTTCTTAAGCAGCTTCGTCGTGATTCTTAAATTGTGCTCGTGGGGATAAAAGATTGGTCTCCCAACACGTCTGCATGCCTAAACACTCAGCAGACTTCCTGTCGTCATTCCCTTCTATCTCCAGTGTCTGTCACTCTGTCAAATTGCTGTTTTCTTACTCCCGCCACCCCACCCCCTGCTTGTGTTTTTCTCCATCGTGTTTTCTGTGAATTTATCATTTTATTTCCTTCATGTCGGTTTTTATCTCCCGACCTTCATCTTTTCCATCTCCAGGCTGCCACGGCACCACGGGTTCCCAGCGCAGGTAGAGCAGCATACAGCCCCGCTGTGCTTCTGTCTCAATGACTTAACATCAAACACTGACAGACCCCAATCCTCCCTCCGCCCTTCCTTGCCTTTCTCTCGCGTCCTCCTCTTGTTTCCTCATTGCTTCCCTTTCCCCTTCCTTTTCCTACGGCTCCACCACATCCTCTCCTCCTCTTTCCCTCGCTTCTCTGCCTTGCTCCTTCTCTTTTACGATTTGCCCTCCACCCTCATCTCCATTACCTCTGGGTCTTTCCCGAGGGGCCCACCACTTGGTCACCATGGTGATTACAAGACCGCCCAATAGCTGTATCTTGCTGTGTGAAGGTTAAAGTTTTTCTCTGCCTTTCGAAAGCAAACCTTTCCATCTACTCTTCCTTACAAAACAACCAGATGTGTGCACAGAAATGTCTGCTCTTCTATTTTTTCCTCTCATTTTCACTACTAACACTACTTTGTTTTTTTAAAGCGGGCACATTTCTGAGGTCTACATATAAAAAGCCATTGCTGATTGGTATTGCTGCAGCATAGAGGCTCTCACTGATGCATTTGGAAATCAGATTTTCACCTCTTGGTTGCATCAATAACCTTAAAGCCTTTTATCTCATGGCCACGTTTGACTCCACATAACAGTTGCAGGTGCCAAGTAGCATTTGTTGGTTGAAAACCCGCAGAGAAGGTAATGAAAATGTTAACAGGGAATTGCGGATGCTGTGTTGAGCTGTGCAAGATTGCTACTGGGATTCAGGTTGGACAAGAGGAGGGGTGGTGGGCTGTCTACTGTGTTGCTGCTCAGCATCTACCCCAAGGCATCATTAAGCCCCCCCATATGAGATTCTGAGCTCACAGCAAGCTGTGCAAACATAATTTGTCTCTTTCCCCTAATTCTAGTCGAGGCAGAGCTCAACAGGCTTCGTTTAAATTTTTTAGCTCAGAATAATATTAGCATAGGGGAACGTCATCTGTGTCAGATAATATTTTGTAATGTTATCTGTTTTCTTTCAGACTGGTTAAACGCGATGCAACAGACATATTTTTGCATGTATATGTTCGTGGCGATGTATGAACTTGTGTTCTTTTGGATCTGACGTGACAGAGCTGCAGCGTAACCCAGGAGGAGGACAGGCGCGTGGAGGGCTGCAGCTCTATGACACCCCCTATGAAGACATCCGAGGCCAGTGTCTGGGTTTGGTGTATGGAGAAGCTCAAGAAGAGGGCAAGGAGAGCAGCAGACTGCCGCAAGATGACGAGAGACCGGCTGATGAATATGACCAACCCTGGGAATGGAAAAAGGACAACATCTCTAAAGCTTTTGCAGGTAGTTAGAAAACTAACTGTAGTGCTTTTTTAAACCTTTGTCAATATTTTCCAGATTATAGGTTATTTAATGCATTTCCCACAAAATGTAAGCAATGGAGACTCTGAACTGCGCTTTGTTTTATAGTTATACTGCCTAATTAGGTAGTAATTTATGAAGAAGCGGTGAATCACACCATTTCCCTTCAGTCAGTGTTAAGAGAAACAGATGAAAGTTTTCCTTTTTCACATGTCACACAAAACAGGACATGATTCACTTCAGAGGCGCTGCTCACTGCTGATAATGTCCTGTTTAATTTAAATGAGGCTGTTGCCTGGATAGAGCATGCAGGACGCATGATGCCCACTCACTCACTATTATTTTACTGGACAATTACACGTGTTATTCTCACACGGGGGCATTTGAACATTTGCATTCTCATCGGCACTCCATCAGGTAATATATATATAGAAAGGTTTGGGGTTGCAGTGAATGTGTGAAACTGCTTTAGTCAATGCAGTCTCACATAATAACAGGTTATTTGCAAAGAAAAGTGCCCACATATTGGCAGTTCGCTATTCTGTTAAAAGTACCTCGGAGTAAACCTGTGAATGCCTATCAGACGAGAGTTCTTGAAACCAGATGGTGTGATGTTAGTCTGATCCATGAGGCATGTTTAGTTTTTCAAATTTAGTTTTAGCTTTTTTAAAAAAAAAAAGAAAGAATCTGTAGAATATGTCAAGATGGTTAAAATCAGGATTCAAATGTTCTGTTTTTAAAGGTCAGAGCACTCCTAGGAGCACACAGACAACCCCTACTGCTGATACTACATGGCGAAATAATCGTCTAACTCTCTTGACCTTTAATATAGTTATTACACCCCCTCAACCCCACCCAGTCATTACATCTCCAACCCTTTTTCCCTGGAAATAGCGAGGGCTCTGACTTTCACTCTCATTTCAAATGACGAAAAGCCTCTCTTTTAATGTTTAAATGCTTTCTGGTGAATATTGATTTCTTGCTGTCACACATGTGACTGACCGTGGACTTAATCTATGAAGTGATCATTAAAACCAATAATGGTTTCTTCTGTGTCCGTATGGGGGGAAAAGGAATAGTTGTCAAGAAGAGACGGATAAAGATCAACATTGTCATATTAGCTACAGTATGTCTTTAAAAATTGACATAGCGTGTCATTTTTCCCATTTGCTAAAGCTGTGTAGTTCATGTCTCACATCTCGTTATGTTCCATATAAGGAGTCAAGTTGGAGGGAAAGAATGAACTGGGAATGAAAGAGACTGAGGGGTAAAGCGAAACACAGTAGGACTGATAGATGATTTAGGAGTGGATCAGTGCAAGGCATTGCCAGGCCAAGCCAGTCTAATTGAGCTGCATCTCCAAGTCACCAAGGTCAAGGTGATGGGATAATAAATCAACTTGCCTTGTCCTCACTCCCCTCCAATACCACTCTCCTCCCTTCTCTTTCCCTGGTGTGTATGCCCACCACCCCATCCCCCTCTTCTCAGTTAATTACATGCCTACATGTGCGTGACTGATCTAGTGCTAATAGGAGAGTCATGGTCAGTACACCATTGTCAGACACATACACACTTTCAGAATCATATCCATGCACACTGTGTTCATGCCCAAATCGCGCTACGCAGAGGAGCAATGAAAAGACACGGTAACCTATTTGAGAGTGATTTCAAAGAGGTGCATGGCAGTTCATTTAAAAGCTAATATCACTTTTCACCTACTTAGCATTTATTCCTGCTTTATCTGTCATTTACTTCCTCTTCAGCTTTTCTTCCTGTTGCCACATACACCGTGCACTCCTGCAGAGGAGCGCTTACAGCACCATTAGAGAACGCAGTGGAGGAAAACGCTTGTGCAGCTCGAGTCGTCTGACCCCTTGTTTTTTCCATTTGGAGTCAGCACTCTGAGCTGGCGTGCTGTCTGTCTGAGCACAGCAAAGCACTGAAGTGTAAACACACAAACAGTATTTTCCATTCTCACTTTAATCCATATTCCCAGGCCCTCTCAGCGTTGCTAGGCATGGCCCACTTGCAAGGATGGGGAGAGATGGGGAGGTCAGAGAAATAGAGGGATGTAAAGAAGGGGAAAAAATGACACGAGAACTAGGTAAGAGAGTAAGAAAGATCCAAAGAGAGATGAAAACGGAGAGAATGCTAGCTGGAGCGTAATAGAAAGGGACATCCAAGGTTATGGTATGTTTGGTGGCACCTCACTGGATGTTTTTTGGAGTCCCAGTGCCTCTGCGGGGAGGGGCGGTGAGGGGTATTAATGGTCGGGAGCTATGGCGAGGTGTGGAGGAAGGAGAGTCAGGACCATTGTAGCAGGGTGCAATCAGTCATCCACTAACGCAGGCTCACACATACACAGCAGCCGTGACAGGGCTGTCCCCTCAGCCCTTCGTCCCTGCGGATGTGACATACTCACTCAGATAACCTGCTGAAGGGGGCAGCGGGGAGGGGGATGCTATCTGCCAGCATCCCTACATCATCACCCACTCATATGCACAAATATACACACACACATAAAATAGAGTTTCTACTAGGTTTCCCAGCTCTGATTATCACCATGCACCTAATTCAAGGGTGTTGCGTGCTGTTGGCACAGATGAGTCTGTGGCTGTGGGGGAGTTGGGAGGATTGCTGTTGCATATTGTGTGTGGATCTGTCTGCACTGCATTCATGCGAAAGCTTCTCTGATTGTGATTTTCACAGCTTATCCGTGGTTACATGTAATCACATGGATGAATATTGAACGCTGTAGCTGTATTTCATATATTATCAAAAATAAGCTTGCCTCCAAAGCATTGTACTTATTTTCCGTTGGTTGCCAGGTCCATATCAGCCAGTGCTGTGAGGTTGAGCCTGTCAGTGCCCGAGGAGTCGGACATGACAGGCCTCTCTCAGCCCAGTGGGTTTTAATTGCAACGTTAGAAAGCTGTCACTAGTTACTACCATCCAGCTCAAATTACAGCAGTCATTAATTCCTGGAAGTTAATAGACGGTCCAGCAGTGAGAGATTGGCCCTGCAGCCATTCAGCATTATTAGTGAGCTAATGAAAGGCACAGTCTTATTAGTTCTCCGATGGCCACACTTAATGAACAGATGAGTGGGCGTATAAGGTATTTCATGTTTTTGTATTTTATAGTCCACGACAATAGCTTTGAGCCATGTGATGCCAGTGATGGCTGTGTGAAGTCTGAAAGAGTGGGCACATGATGAGAGAGGCACAAATCAGCTGGAAATCTGGAAAAGGGAAGCTGAATGAATAACATTGCCACCCCTAGTGATTACTATTATGTTGCCATTGAGCAAAGCACTTATCCTCCACTTGTTCCTGTGCAGCTGCTCATTAGGCACCACCAAAGGACTGCACCTCCCCATACACAGAAGCTGCTCATTATGAATATTTTGCATCCTAAAAGCAAGGTGGTGGTGAATTCAGGGCTTATTTGGGTCTAGCTTCAGAATAAGTCTTGCAGCACAAAAATACATTAAAGTGAAATAGTTATGAATCTATAGTGCATTTTTCTTTTTAAATACAGTGCATTAAATATACATAAATTAGCTTATTTCAGGCTAAAAAGAAGGTGAAATTTCCACTTCTGTTGCAGTAGGGATTTTGCAGCCTGTGCAAGTATAGCACTGGTAAATGTACCATAGTTTAAAAACCCTGCATTGTGGCAAGGTATTACTCACCGGAGCAGCAGATTCATACTGGTGACTTTTATGTTTGACTTTTGATGGCTCTTCTTCCATTTCCATTGTGCAATTAGCATTTTTGGGTTTTTTTAGTCAAATGTTTTGATAACTAGGTGATTGCTGTGAATTTTGGTTTATACTTTCGCATTTCCCAAACTGTTTTGATGATTCGTTAACTTTTCATACATCATCAGGTCAGAATTTTGATATGCTTTGGTTTGTGTTTTATGTGCAGCGATGGATTACTCTAGCAGTATTATTTCTGTAAGCATGTTATCATGGTGCTGCTAGGATTTAGCTCTTAGTACTGATGCATTTAAAAAGTAGGTTGTGCTAGCGGAGAATTGCTTGATGAATGTAAAAACAAAGAATTACCAGATTTTTTTTCTTTTTTACCAGATTTTTTCTGAGAAAAATGAGATCCACATATGAGGACATTCATTTTAAATTTTGATAGAACATTGGCAGCATAATGTCCTCGTAAGTGGACATCAGGCCCTTATAGAGCAAAATTTAGTATTTTGGTCTAGACAACCCCAAATGTGATGCCCACATATTTGGACACCAGGGCCCTATTTCAGGAAGCCGGTTTAGAAAACTCAGAGTGAAAAACGATACTCAGGGTTGAGTAACCCCGAACTGTCCAACTCGGAATATTCGGTTTCAGAAAGGCTGATAACAATTAGTTCAATCAACGTGGAGTTGCTTTAACCCCAAGTTAAGCGCGCGCACGAGGATACATAAAGCCCTGATTAGTGGAGCACAGATTAAGCGAGTCACCATGGAGACGGAGGGAAAGAAGGCGCAGTCAATGTATTTTACAGCGCTTGAGGCCGAAATTCTGATAGCAGTATAGGGCTTTGGAGCGTGATGTCACGGGGGTGGGCGATAACATGCAAATTTTGCGGGACAAAAGTAACACAGCCTCAGCTACAAAAGAAAGGGAGCATGCATGGCAAAACATTGCCGACAGAGTCAATGCGTGAGTGTTAATTTAAACACTGATCTAGGGATTTCCACCCATTTAACACGTTATTTTATTATATTTTATTTTATTTTTTATTTCATACATTTTATTTTGTGATGTGATTTGAGCGCAGGTGCAACCCAACAGGCCCCAAACGTTCCTGGCAGCAAGTAAAAATGAAATATAAAAATATAGTCCAAACAGGTAAGGTGTAATTGTATTATGAGCCATAGTGCTTGGTCTGTTTGTCCGATGTAAATCAATTGCAGTTAGAGGCTACATTAATTTTCTTTCTGTAAGCACTAATTGGAATTATCT